TATAGGAAAGTCTATAGGTTTCCTATAAGAAATAGCTAAAGGTTTCCTATAGGACATTTCCGTAAGGGCCGCTTGTCTTGCCCTGTCAGCATCCAGGCGTCATTGCCTTTCAGCAGGGCTTTCACTTGCTTGAGATGTTAAATCTCTTGTTCTGTCAGCTTCAAGGCGCTGGCGGCTTTCATCAGAGGTCTCTGTCCTCCTCCTTGCTTGGGAGGAGGAGCTTCGTCCCAGCCTTGTTAGGCGACATTGTTAGTGTGTTGTTAGAAACCACAGATCACTGGGTACCCTTCCGGAAATGTCCTATAGGAAACGTATAGTTATTTCTTATAGGCAAACTATAGACTTTCCTATAGGTTTTTGAAACACGAAAAACCTATAGTATCCTATAGGAGACGTATAGGATTCGGGGAGGATTTTTTGGGTTTCAAAACCCATGCTTACGACGGAAAAGGCGACCGGGATTAATATTGGCGCAGCATATTGGCGTAAATCAAATTCCGATTTGGGCTTTTCCATGGTAGGGACACTTGCATTGGTAATACTAATACTACGCGAGTCTGTTTAATTTATGGCCCCAGCCAACATATGTCGCTGGATTACACGTCTACTTCCTTCAGTAGAGAGAATTAGCATTCTCGACGTAAGGAAATAGATGACAAAACTTGGGAGCACGTCTCTTTACCGAAACTCCATTTGAATGGAATCGACTCATTCTCGAACGTGGTTTTCCAAAGGAATAAGGGCATATTTCTTGCCCGGACTCCATGATTCTATCTGGAAGATGGCGATGACAAATAAGGCAGTGTCGAAGTTTATTGATTGCTACAATGAGGCAAGACATTTGGGGACGCACAAAATTCTCTTGCGAGAGATGATTCCTTGGGTAAGGGGAGGGCACTTTTGTGCCCTTTGAGAAATGCGAGAACCCTGTACTTCCATCTAGTGGCCTAGAGGAGAACTTCAAACGGAACCCCATAGGCCTATATGGTTCCTATAAGCCCTATTGGGAACCCTATAGATCCTATAGGTCCTATAGGGTTCCGTATAGGCACTATAGGGAACCCTATAGGCCCTATAAGGAACCCTATAGGTCCTATAGAGAATCCTGTAGTTCCTATAGCGACCCCTACATGTCCTATGGGGAACCCATCGGGTCATATAGGGAACCTTTAGGCCTTATGGGAACCCTATACGTTCTGTAGGGGACTCTATACTGACCCTGGCCACTGACAAATACTGACCATGGCCAAACAGTACTTGACTTGTGGCTTCCTGAAGTTAGTTGTAGACGACGTGAAGTGTCTTGGCTTTGTTGAAGGGAACCTTATAGAACTTACCAACTTCACTGTGGATGTATGTGAAATTGGTAATTATAGGCCAGGGCAGTTTTACTAACCCCCCTAACCCCAATCCGTTGTCCCTGTCTCCCTAGCTGGCCTGGAACACCCTTTTTGGGACCCCCCCGGAGCCGCCCCCCCCCTGACCCTGACCCCCCTATGACCTGTTACTGGACAGACCCCACCCTCCTGCGAAGGTTTCAGGTTGATATCTCCAACAGTGTCCGAATGCATAGCGTCAGATGGACAGAGACAGAGATCTTTGCTTCTAGATATAGATGTACGCAATGTACACAACGTAGATGTAGATGAGATGTATATGAGGAGTTGAGCGTTATATTTTGAGCGAAGCAAATGTGGCCCTGCGGCATTTTCTTCGTGTTTTAAGCTAGACTTGAGAGGAATGCTGTATAATTTATTTTCGCATTTTTCATTCTCGAAAGAAGGTTGTCACAAATTCTGCTTTAAAATTTTGTGGCCGGATTAATGGTCTGATGTCTTTGCTATTCTTTGTTTTCACCTCTAAGAGGTGAAAACAAAATAACCTAAGGAAACTTTCCGAATCGCATACATAACAAGTAACAAAAACAAGTAACAAAATTATACCCTAACTAATGAAAGTACCCAATTTGGCACAACTGAAGCCCATAAATTTTACAATCCATTTTGAAATTCGTAATTCATTTGTGGGCTTTTCATGCCTTTCAAGGGATTGTTTGCGTCGAGTGATTTCAGTATCCTGGAGAAGACGAAAATTTTCACCTGGTTTGATAGTTTGAAGAGCACAATTTAGGAAAATATGAAAATTTCTTCAGGGGGGGGTCAAAATGCCTAAGTTCCCGATGAGAAGATCATGGAGGCAATTCATAAGACGTTTCTTAACCTGAGGAGATTTAATATTTTTACCCAGATTTTATCGGCGGACCTATGACTACCTAGATATACTGAAACAGGACATTATTAAACACTTATGATTTGGGGGCTTTCATTTGTAAGGATGTAACTTTGTTTCGTTTTGATACGCAATGCTGACATTTTCCACAGTAAAAATATATTGAATTGGATATCATGAGTCCGATATGATTGAAACCTGATGGATACTTGATGGACCTGATGGATGGATTGGCTTTTACCTATGGGGAGACAATAGTCGGCCACTCTGTATAGGCTATTATTGTAGTTCAGTCTCTCGATGAAGCATTCGCTTTCAGTTGTTTTGCAGAACAATAAACTACACTGTAAAAATATGAGGGAAAAATTAGGCATTCAGAGGTAATTAGGGGGTCTATTGAAATTCAATTAATTTCGACTAATTTTTAAAACCGCGATTAATACTTTACTCGATTCATCTAATCTAATTGACAGTCTTAGTAAATTGTATCTAATTTTTTTTTTCTCGAATAATTTTAGTTTAATTTGTACTGCATTATTGTTTTCATTTTCTTTTTCTTTTTGTTAGCCATATGCGGCACAACCCAGTGGCAGCGAATTGGGCGCTCGTGTTCGTGTACTCTAAGGTATTGGAGCTGGGCGACACGGCCTTCATCGTCTTGAGGAAGCAGCGCCTCATCTTCCTCCACTGGTATCATCACCTCACCGTCCTGCTGTACACGTGGTACTCCTGCGCCCAGGGCATCCCGGTGGCCCGGTTAGGGGCTACGCTTAACAGCCTGGTCCACGCCTTCATGTATTCCTATTACGCGGCCCGGGCGGCGAAGATCCGCGTGCCGCGTCGAATCGCCATGTTCATCACGCTCTTCCAGCTGACTCAGATGGTGTTCGGCATATACATCAGCGTCTACGCCTATTTGGCGAAGAAGGCCGGACTCCACTGCGAAACTCCATGGGAAAACATCTACGTCTCCTTCTTCATGTACCTCTCCTACTTCTTGCTCTTTCTGAATTTCTTCTTCCATGCATATTTCAAACGCTCCTCGAGGGCGGTGAAAGTAGAAGTGGCAAAGGGCAAGAGCATTGGAGAGGAACTCATGGAATATCTCAAAATCAACTGACACAGCATATATGCATACCTTGTATTTCTTATAATTTAGAATGACATTATTCCTTGTTTGTATCTTTATTAGTGGAATGCATGTAATCACTATGGTAAAATGGTGGGCAATATCATTGCGCCACCGGTTGCTTTTTGCATTACACAAATAAGTATTTCCATGTGGGATTGAGACTTTTTCCCTAACATTATGATAATTATAGTGTTAAATATCAAAAATGGATTTTTAATACGTAGAAGACGTTTGAGCTATCGTCATGGAATGATGGGAAACACATTTTAATGAAAATAAAAAAGGGGAAACTGATCATATCATATGTGAATGCATTTATTTCGTCATGCCTTGGAAATTAGATTTTTAACCCTTTGTTGTCGGAATATTTTGAATGCGTCAGCACTGGCATCCAAGTTGTTTCTATCAATAATTTAGCAAACACTCTGGCTAACCCCGTAATATTAATATATGTTCACTCAACCTCTACAAGCTGAATACCATCATCATTATCTAAATACGTGTTCACCGAATCGCCTAACCATTAAGAAAAGAGTCATATGGAGGAGAGCGTAGTCTCATTAAATAATTGTCATGGGCAAAGGCTTGCAAAAAATATAACATGCTAATTGGTCAATTAGTTTGAAAGTAAATTATGTATTTTTTTCCCGATGCTACTACTTTGGTGCTCTCTCTTGGATCGGACTATGTAATCTCTTGGATCTACACGATCCTCTTCACATTTGATTACTAATTGAAATTCTCTACCTGGTAAGAAAATCACTTTTAAAGGAAAGACTTCCGAAGTGGATCACCCGTCGAATGGTAAATGTGATATATACAGGGTGCGCGAGGTATTTGAGAACACAACTTTATCAAGTCATATGTAAATGCCCCAGCATGGCAGCTCCCAATCTGACACAGGACATGAAAAGGCACACCGTTCTCGTTGCCTTAGCCTCCAACCACAGTGACTCGGAGATTGCCACCTTCTTGAACGTAGCCAGGTCCTTCGTGTTCAAGGTGAGAAAACAGCTACGGGAAAATGGCGGGGACGTTTCATTTGTGGCCAAGAGAAAGAAGCATTCTCAGCGATCAGACGTCGTCAGGACGGCCAAGTTCGTCCAGCAGGTCCAGGAACTCATCAACGACGACCCCAGCAAGTCCATGAGGGCCATTGCTAATCAGCTCCAGGTGGCAGAGTCCGCTATCAGGCTTGTGGTGCACGAGGACATCAGGTACAAGTCCTACGTGATGAGGAGAGGACAGTTCATGTCCGACAAGACCCAAGAGAACCATGTGATCCGGTCAAAGCGCTTGCTGAACAAGCTCAAGCACCCCGAGGAGCCCGGCATGCTCTGGTTCTTCTCCGATGAGAAGATCTTCGACCAAGACCAAAAAGTGAACAGGAGGAATGACAGGTGGCTCTGCGCGAACCCCACTGAAGTCCCCACGGTTATGCACACCAAGTTCCCGTCGTCTGTGAAGGTCCTGGGAGTTGTGAGCAACGAGGGTCATGTTATGCCGCACCACTTCTTCCCGCAGGGCCTTAGGGTCAATGCTGCCGCCTACATCGAGGCGCTGGACACAGTTGTCAAGCCCTGGATCGAGAGGGCGGCCCTGGGGAGGCCGTACGTGTTCCAGCAGGACTCTGCTCCCTCCCATACAGCCTACGCGACCCAGGAGTGGCTGGCAGAGAATTTTCACGATCATGTGGCCCCTAACATGTGGCCTCCTAGCTCTCCAGATTTGAACCCAATGGACTACTACATCTGGGGCGTCGTTGAGAGGGAGACCAACCAGCGGCCCCACAATACCAATGAGTCGTTGAAGGTTGCCATTGTGGGCGTTATGGCCAACATGAATGAAAACCACCTGATCCGGGCATGCAGTCGCTTCCGAAGCCGCATCGAGGCCGTCATTGAAGCTGAAGGTGGTTTTATTGAATAACCTTTTACTATACATAAGTAAAAACATGTGTACCAACTTCTATTTAAAAAATATATGGGTTTTTCTATTGAATATCTTTGTTTTTCCTCAAATTATAATATGTTCTCAAATACCTCGCGCACCCTGTATACTGTATATACAGAGTCCGCCAAAAAATTGTATACGCACTTCAGGAAAAGAAAAACTTGTATAAATATTTTAATACTAAATTTATTCAGACGTCATGAGATTAATATAAGTTACATTTGGCCTATACAATTACAAGAGGTGCTCAAAGTGGTGGCCATTAGCTTCCAGACATTTCTTAGTACGGCGAACTGCTGCTTGGGCAACCTTGGCCAAAGTGTCCAGTGGGATTGCTGCACATGCATTATCAATTTCTTCTCTAAGGGCCGCCAGTGCAGTTGGTCTTCTGCGATATACGACATCCTTTAGGGTCCGCCCTAGGTAAAAGTCTGCAGGTGTTAAATCAGGAGAACGTGCGGGGAACTCAATTGCACCTCTTCGTCCTAGCCAGTGTCCTTGCAAATTCTCATCCAGATAAGTTCGCACGTCTTTGTGGTAGTGTGGCGGCGCGCCGTCTTGTTGAAAGAAAAATTCATCATTTCCATAAAGTTCATGTATGTCAGGTAAGATGGATGTGCGTAGCATGTCTAGGTACGCTTGACCAGTAACAGTGCCTTCAAAGAAAAATGTTCCTATTAAACCTCTTGCTGACACTCCACACCAGACATTGACCCCCGGTAAATTGACTGCTATGTCCACCTGGATGTTAGGATTTTCTGGTGCGCAGTAAACACAATTATGTCGGTTCACCGTTCCATTTTGCTTAAATTGTGCTTCATCGGACCACACAATCTTCCTTATAAACTCTTCATCCTCGCTTACCATGTGTTGAAACCACTCGCAAAACTGGATTCTTCGATCCAGATTGTCTTCATTAATTGCATGTAATAATCTTGGCATGTAAACTTTCCACTTAGCTCTTTTAAGAATGCGCCGTATGCTTGTACTGCTTACTCCTGTCTCACGTGCGCATTGTGCGGTAGACTTCTGCGGCGAACGTGTGGACGGTTCCAACACCTTAGCCGAGGAAGCAGCACTTGTTGCTGTACGAGGTCTGCCGGACTTTCCTTTATGCACATCACTTACGATACCATGTGTTTCGAACTTATCACGAATCCGTGAAATTGTCAGGCGTGCTGGAGGTTCTGTTCCAAACTCACGCCTCCATTGTCGTTGGACTTCAACGACATTCTCAAATTTGAAATACCACTTTAAAATGATTTTACTTTCCTCAATCGACAACCGTACCTCTGTCATTTTGTCACTGTTGTTTACGTCACTTGTTGATGCTACAGCCATAAGGGTAACGCCATCTGTTGAGAAAACATCGTACTACAGTACACAGTTTTATCGTAATTTGATCAAACTTCGAAAGAAATTGAAAATGCATGTGCATTTTGCAAGGACACTGGCTAGGTCGAAGAGGTGCAATTGAGTTCCCCGCACGTTCTCCTGATTTAACACCTGCAGACTTTTACCTAGGGGGGACCCTAAAGGATGTCGTATATCGCAGAAAACCAACTACACTGGCGACCCTTAGAGAAGAAATTGATAATGGACGTGCAGCAATCCCAATGAACACTTTGGCCAAGGTTGCCCAAGCAGCAGTTCGCCATACTAATAAATGTCTGGAATCTAACGGCCACCACTTTGAGCACCTCTTATAATTCTAGAGGCCAAAGGTAACATATTAATCTCATGATGTCTGAATGAATTTAGTATTTAAATGTTTATACAAGTTTTTCTTTTCCTGAAGTATGCATACATTTTTTGGCGGACTCTGTATATACTGTATATATATCAGTCGCAAGCTCTTGATGAGTAGATTGCGTTCATGCATATTTTCACTGAGAAAGGTAAGAAAAGAAGTAGCAATTTTGATGTTAATGTGTGGATTGTAGGCTAGGCAAGCATGGAGTTTTTCATTTCAGCATTTCCCTATTCCTGGCAGCATCCTGCGAATCAGCGTTTTTTGAACGTCGTCGTGAACTTTTATCCAGTGACTGTGACTCAAGAATTTCTCTCTTTCTCGCACGTTCAGTAAATCACACAGTAATCAGTAAATCACAGAACTGTTAAAACACGAAAAACTTAAAGGATCCCTATAGGGTCTTACAGGACTCCAGATCTAGAGAATTCCGTGAGGATTTTAGGGTTTCGAAATCCTGGCATTTCAGCTGGGATTACTACTAGATGGGATGACCATCGATATTGGCAATTCTTCTTGCTGTAGCTTTTATCGTAGTCCTAGTACTACCTGCACTAGTATAACTTTCTTCCAATCGGCACACATGCCTCATAGAGGGGCAGGCTGATGTATCCGCGAGCTCACTTCCATCCATGGAGATAAAATGATCATTCTCCAATCAGACTAAGGTAATGGCTGATGGAACCAACGTACACAATCTCATTTCGGACGCTCCTTTCGAATAAGGGTTTCGTATGGGATTCTCACAGGGAAAATGTGCTCGTTTCTGGGCTGAACACCATGATTCTGTCCCGAATAGTCAATAAGGAAGTGTCCATGTTCATCGATTACTAAAATGAGACTCGGCGAGACATATTGGGAGGTACAAAACACTCTTATGAGAGATGATTCCATGGAAGGGCACACGAGTGTACTGTGAAAAACGCGAGACACATACCTCAATCTAATGGCCAAGAGGGCAACAATGCAATGCCACGATAACGCTGGGAAAGATGAAACTTTACTTTAGTACAATGCTGATTGAATGATCTATACAAAACCATCAAGATTCTTATATATATTCCTATAGGATTCCTATAACATTCCTATATGAATCTCACGGATTCCATATTGGAATGCATGCTTGATATAGGAAACCTATAAAATTTCTATACATTCCTACGAATTCCTATAGATTTCCTATAGGAATTTTTTCGTAGGGGTATTGTTCGAGGAGCCTAGAAGTCCGGTATGAGAAAGGAATTTCGTAACTTTAGGGCCCGGTTGTGGGAGCAATCTTGCTGAT